GGAGTAGTTGAACTATCTTTATCTTTACAGTAAAGAGGGGTGCATTTTCAAGAAAGATAAAACAAGAGGGGACACTATTTCTTGTGAGATTTAAGTAATCCCGCAGAGTTCGAATGTTAGGCACTTCCCCCTCTCTCACAGGAATTTCTCCTCGTCTCTCATCATTTGTCATTCTACTTTCACAAGAGTCTGCTACTGATTTTGGTGAAGGTGATTCTGGTTGATTCACAGATCCAAAAGATTTTGTCGGCAAATTTGATAGTGAGGAGTGTCCTCAAACATAAAATTAAAATAAATTTATACACAGTAAATCAAGTATCTATACAAAAAGAGAGGTCTTTTTACCTTTTACCTTAAAACCCTTTTATGATTCCCCAGCAACGGCGCCAAAAATTTGACTTGGTCTGAAATGTGTATACCCAAGTGCAGGCAGTCAAGCTGTAATAATAATCCGGTTAAGTCTGGAGTCGAATCCACAGGGAACTATGATTAGTGTTTTGAAGTAAGCAGTGACAGAGACCGAGTAACTGAAAACCTTGAGAGTTTGAAGTTATAGGATTTCTTAAATAGAATATAAGATTCTTTCCAAAAGTTTTCTAGACATAATATAAGATAAATTCAGATGTAAAATAATCACCTTTTAGCTCGAGGATCAAAATATGTAAGTAATCATCCAGTTTATTATACTTGTGATTTATAACTCAATTAACTCACATGTCAACAGCAAGTTAATCGGAAGATAAAGATAGACTGTGTGAATTAAGTGCATGGTTCTGATACCTTTCTAGAAGTTTACAAGAATTGTATGTGCTGAGACTCAACCTGTCTACAAACAAACAAATGTTTCTACAAGGTATCCAACCATAGCGTTAATGTTCCATTCTTTAAATAAAACACAATAATAGTGAAGATTGAAATGTTGTCATGAAGATCTAGTCGAGGTACTTGCCTTGAACCAAAAGGTCTTTCCATGCAAGAGTCATCTGTGTCATAGAAAGAACTCATAGTTATACAAAGTACCTTAACTTTGCTAGATTCATTCAATCATTCAATAAGTGAAATATAAAGCATTAAGCATAAAGAAAATACATAAATATAACTTCCGGATAATTAATACATGTTCATCACCTCTCACTATAGAGTGAATGAAGAACTACTCACTCTTCGTGCCTTGGGTAAAGCTAGAAAAATGAGTGATACTCATCCCTCCAAGTAGAGGAGTTACAAAATGAAAGTACAATAAACAAGGAGCCAATCTTCAATGAAGAATGAGTGAATCATGTTCTACCCTTCACGGCTTTGGTAAAGCTCTAGAAAAATGGAAGAGTTTCACTCCTTTAAGAAATAAGGAGGCTCAAGCTATGGAAGTGAAAGACATGAACAACAAAAGTAGAAGAAAGTTAGTCACATTTGGAGGGTGGCTTCCTCAACCAAGAAATGGAGGGTTGCTTCCTCAACCAAAAGATGAACTATCTCCCTTGATATAAGCAAATATATCTCTAAATCTAGCTACATAAGTGGGAGTTTAAGCCTCCATCAAGCTCCCTATCTATATTCGTCTCCCTGAAGCTCCCACAATGGAATTATTTATAGTCAAGGAGGAGGAGGGGTGGTGAAAGAATAGTGTATGTCACTCAAGTCTAAGTGAAAGCCAACCACTCTGCAGTATGTCTGTGGAGAACGTTCGAACATTAGTTAGTATTCGAACGTGGTTTCTATTTTTGCTTTATGGGTGTTCGAACGTTGTATGGCGTTTGAACATTTTTTCTATCTTTGCTTTATAGGCATTCAAACACTAGATGGGGTTTGACCCTCTCACTCAAGTGACCTGTGATTTTCTGTGGAAACCTATTTTCAACACTCTATGCAGAACTTGGCACTTTGCACTCATCACCCTAGTGTTCAAACAATTCAAGTAGACGTTCGAACGTGAGCTGGCGTTCGAACGTGGTACTCAAGTACTTCAAGGTCTTCCTTCTTGGCTGCAATACATCATGTCTCAGCAATCTAGTATTTTCATAGTTCAAGTGGACGTTCAAACGTGAGTTGGCATTCGAACGTTCTTGCTTTGTTCCAAGCTTCTCCAATTTTGTCCCCAATATGCTGGTGTTGCATCCAAGTGTGATTTTTGTTGTTCTTGAACTCTTGTTCACTTTAGGACCTAAAATATCATCACTTAAACTCCATCAAAATACAATTAGTCCTAAAAAGGCATAGTAATATGCTAAATTTAAGTACTAATCATTAAACAAAGGTTATACACGAAGGATTAAGAGTTTGTTTGGGATAGCTTTGAAAAAATAAATAATAAAAAGAACTTTTAGAGTTTTTGACTTATACAAGTCATTTTCTTTAAAAAAATGTAGTGTTTGGGATAATTTCTTAAAAGTACTTTTGAATAAGTAAAAGTAACTTTAATATTTAAGTTTTTTTTTCGGAACTAACACTCTAAGTTAATAAGTACAAATTAAAAATATTCTCCTTTTGATAAAACGCTTTTTAAAAACCACTACTTAATCTTCATTTTCATGCTCACTCTCCCGCTACCTCTCCCGATGCAGACACTCTCATCCACGGATGACACCAGTGACGACCACCTCGTCAACCACCGACACCAACCATCGACGATGCCAAAAATAGCCCCTTCTATCACTATTACTTAGTTTATTGTTGAACGAGATCCACTATAATAAACACTTAAACTTTCCAAAACTACATTCTGGTATGAGTAAAGAATTCGTTGATTAAATTTTTGCATTCTTAATTACATAGAATAGCTAATAATTTTGTTATTATTTTCAAGTAAATATTATGTGGTAAACACTGACTTCCCTAATATGGATGGTTATCTTACTCCTTATAAGGAAACAATATATTATCTACCTGAATTTTGTAAGGGACAAGGAGGAGTTATTCAACCATGGACATTATTTATTGAGGAATGTGATTGAATGATGCTTTGAAATATGAAAGAAAAGATTTTCAATTTTACAACAAATGCTTAGTTTTGATTTCACTAAGCAAATGTTTATTGTTGTTGCTTGCATGACTTGCCATAATTATAAAAGATTTCATGGCATCTGAGATGTATTATTTAAAATGTATGTTAATAAAGACGTAGAGCTAGAGGAGGAGAAAGACAATGTAAACCAAATTGCTTTTGAAAAGGATATTGATTTTTCAAATATAAATCCAATATATTGGAAGAGAGAACATATTGCTTCAACAATTCTAATGGGCAATCAAGCATAAATATTTGATTGTATTTATTATTAGCATGTACTTTACTATTTGGGTATGTACTTAATGTCGTGCAGATAGTTGGCCTTCTTATGATAGTTTTATTAATATAATAGTTTGTGTATGGTATTTTTTTGTGTATCATTGTATGTATAGTGTATGTTTGTATATGTACATTCAATGTTATTAACAATTATAATACAAATAAATATTTTACATCCAAACTTATCTTTTATAAAATACTTTACTTTAAGTATTTTTAAATTTTAATATCCAAACAATACGTATTTAATGAAAATATTTTTCTTATAAACACTTATTGAAAAAGTACTTATTGAATTTCATAAGTCATCCTAAACGCATTCTACGTAACATTTTCATTTCTTTTTGAAAAGTATTGGGGCATCAGAAAACTACTTTTCAAAACTCATATTCTCAAGCACATAAGAAATAAAACCCAGGGGAATTGTTTTACAACCAGGATTTTAACATTTGATCCTTTGTATTTTAATTCAAACCTAAAACACATGAGAAAAACTTTAAATTGATGGTGACATCTAGTTATCACCGTCACATAATATTGTCATTCAATAAAAAAATAACAAGTGAGCAAATGAATTCCACTCAATTTAATAATCACTCACTCTATGTAAATAACTATTCCATTCCATGTATAAAATAGAATCCTCTATGTCCATTTAATTATTTTTCATTATATAGTAACACTGTATGACTATAATAACATAGTGTTACCTATGCATTGAATATTTATTCAAAACAAACCACCCAGCCGCCGCACATGGATTTGTACCCATGGATATTCTCATTTGCATCTCCTCTCTCTTTTTTTTTAAGAAGACAATGTATCTTTTTGAAAAAAAAAAAAAAAATCAAGAACGCAGTGCACGGAGTATACCATAATTTGAAGTCAAAATTCGATCCTGCAGAAATAACCTCCCACGTGTGGATAAAAGTGCATACATGTAAATTTCTTCGACCCACAAAAGCTGGAACCTAGTGCACTTAGCCGCACTTTTATTTTTATTTGCTACTCGATTCCTTTCTCTATACAACATGAATGTGCTTAGCTTACATTGCAATTTGTTGATGCACCTCCACTTGGACTTCAGAACCCATGGAACAGAATGTGGTAGCCAAGATAATACCATTCCAAACAAAGCTTTGTGCCAAATTGCCAATCACGGACCAAGCAATGTCAATACCTTTGATTATATTTCCTTGGCAATTGGCAAGTACCTGCCTAGCTACTTTCATTCAAGGTCTTATTCACACCCAGGGTACCCTGCTTCAACAAAAAAGATACACAATGGGCAAATAAAATTTGGTGCCAATTAGTTAAGACAGCCATGGCATTGTTGCACTCATTAAGCACATCCAAAACCTCATAAGCCAAAATGGAATCAATATTCCAGAAGGAGTTCAATATTGAGGTAATTACTCAAGTGAGAGAGAATCTGGGTAGCATCCCCTGCATTACCACCGACATGGGAAATTCTATACCACAACACAAGCACGAATTACAAAACAACTTTCAATCCCGCTTTGTCAGACATTAATACACAAAATCCAATTACAAAACATTACAACTATTCGAAGCAATCTTAGTCATATTTGTTTCTGAAAAATGAGACTGCTTATGTTCTAGACTGCAAAAATTGAATTATGGCTTTTCAACAAATGCTCAGCCTCAAAATCTGCTCCTAGAAAGCTTATGAGACTAAAGGAAATTAAGTTGGAGCTCACAGAATGGTGACCAAAAAGAGAAATAGACCAACCATTGTCTTCTGAATACAGCCAAATCTATGGTCAGCACCCGCATAGTATGGCTGGATCCCGATTGCAAACCTGCAGGTTCCATCAGATGGATCTGCTTTTGTGACCGTTGAAAGGCCAGAGAATTTGCAGGCATCCTCCAGCTGATTATACGTCTGGTAGTAACTGTTGAATGCATATGAAATGTTCCCCTGGGTAGCCAAATTGCCACAAGATGAACGATACCCCAGGCTTGTGCAGTCAGCACGTTCACAAGCATAGGTCACACTCAGCCCCAACTGTGGGTCAGTAAGGTTCGCTGATTCCTTCAACACACACCACTTTCTCTCCAAATAGTGCACATTTCTTGCAGGGACCAAAGATCCGGAATTTGTCGTACCAAGATTAAGCACATATTTTGGTAGCCCATCAAAAGTAAATATTCCCCAATGGCGTTCAAAACTCCCAGGTTCAATACTTTTGCCATCCTCATCAATCAAACTAAACAGATAGGCATCAATGGGTGCCGGTCTCATTGGGGTTCCTTTTCCACCTGATATATGAGACATGAACCCTTGGTTGAACCGCTGAGCATAAAGTAGGTTAGCATTTTGGTCCCCATCAGTTGGCCAACCTATTTCTCCAACTAATATGGGCATGTTTCCAAAGCCATTCTTTTGTAGAGCCCACACCAGAGTATCATAATTCGCATCGAACATATTGTAATAGGATGTCCCTCCATCATTTACCGGGGATGCATTGCCATCAAAGAAGGCATATTCAACTGGGAAATTGGAGTCTGTGTAAAGGCTAATGAAGGGGTAGATATTGACTGTGAAGGGGGAACCATTATCATTCAGGAACTTTACAATTTGAATCATAAAGTCGCGGATGTCAGCTCGAAAGTCACCACCAGAGGGAAGGGTATTCGAGCTCGCGTACACATCTGCATTTAGGGGAACAGTGACCTTCACTTTGTTGGCAATGCCAGCTTTTATCAGAGCAGATTGGATATTCTGGAGAGCAGGAAAGGTTATTCTGAGAAAGCTTCCATTGTATGTTTGCAGAAAAGGTTCATTTCCAACCGCAACATACCTGTCAAAGAATAGGTAGGTTGCGTAAAGGCCAAATACCCAAAAAAGTAGAGATTCCAGAATGGATACCTAAATTGTTGGAATGTTGAGATACTACCTCATATGAAATATATTAATATCAATCAGGTCAAAAGAAGTTCAAGGTTGTTGATACAGACCACTAAAAGGAAGTGCTGTAATAATACTATATAAGTGAGGACAAATGATGTAAGCCTCACTATATGGCATTCAAAAAGTGTTGAATTAAGACAGCAACTTGGAATTGAATATGCAAAAAAAACACACTGAACATCAGTAAAGCACTTTCCAATCAAAATACTAGTAACAATTAAACAATCAACATGTAAAATTTTTAATATGTGCGTTTTCTCAACCACTGGTCTGAATGCTAAAGAAGTATATGATAGTCTAGTCATATCATGGTTATAAACAAAGGAAACTTTCCCACTTCACCAATAAGAAATGTCAGTTATTCAAAAGCCCAAAGAAGTTTGATATCATGTTGTATCAAATAGTATGTTTTTCCATTTAAAACATTAGTTTTATGCCATTTAAAAAAAAATAAACATTAGTTTTACGGCAAAAGAATGATGAGATGTGAGCAGATTAGATCATTCACAGGTAAATGCAGCATGTAACAATGTAGAAAAAGAAAGCCCTTTAACCAAAAAGTCTTGATTTACAAGGTGCATATATCTGAATTTTTTTTTCACCATATAAGCTATTCTATCATCCTCTCTTGCTAGTCTTGGCCATTGCTGAGCATGATCTGATGACATTAACACAAGCTGGTGAACAATAAAATTGCCTTTTCTTCAAGAAAAAGTATTTCATTCACCTTTTTGTATGAATGCTGCTTTTTCTTATAATTCAAATTACAACTTATAAAATACCAGAAGATGTTATAGGAGGTGGCGTTTGAAGAAAACATGTGTTCAAAGATGATCTTATGAGGCATATGAAAATTGAATGGAACATCATCCTAGGTACTCATGGTCATGAATTTTCCAACCAAGATGACCCAGTGGATTTCTGCTGGGAGTTCTACTCCTAGACTCTCAATGTATGCCAATAGTGAAATAGTTTGTTGCTTCCCAGGATCAAGAGGATTAAGTCAAGCAGATCAAATATCTCCTCATTTCTTTGGCAATGCCATGAAAGCATAAATCACTTCAACAAATTTTAAAGGAAATGAGACAATGTTAAGCTTTCTCAGTTTTGTTTTGGAGAATGTCTCAGTACGAGGTGCCAATGAGACTCCAATTTTGCTGCCGCTCTAAATGGACCACAGATAGATTTCTATTTCTCTCAGGCTTGAAAGCATTGGAACCTAATCCAACTAAGAGCCACATCTTTACTTCAAGAGTTCCTTGACGCCACGAACAGCCTTACTTGACTATTTTGGCTTTCCAGAGGATGACCTTCACGTCAGGTATTGTACATGGGGTCCCAATTGGAAGTATCATAGCATGAGCTGTGTACTCCCAAAACGAAGGGTTTACTGGGGCTGAAAAGAATGCAAGATTAGAACAAAGCTTTGTTGTTGAAACATATTTGGCACTGGTCAAAGATCAAAATTTTGTTTCGATGCATTATTTCGATCACCTAGAAAACAAAAACGTTTCAACGTGTTTCGGAAACATTTCGATCAGTTTCAAAAATAGAATGAAAAAAAATAAAAAAATTTAAAAATTATTTTTCCAAAACATTAGTCGAATATATCAAAATATCTAGAAATACCTTGAAAAATTATGAAATAATTGTGTACATGCATTGAAATATAACAAAACATTTCAAAACATTATGGAACACCTCAAAGTATTAATATTTCGATTTTATCACTGATTCGTTTCAGTATCCTTAAAAACAAAATGTTCGGATGTTTTGACCGTTTCGAAACGATATTTTGATCCTTGACACTGGTATACAGTTGAGAGTTGTTAAAGCACCAATTATTCCACCAATGTATCTTTCTAGAGGAAGGGCCAAAAATGTATACTAAGTTGTTAACATGGGTAATAACCGATTTAATTGGATTAAGATTTTATTATTTGAAGAACAAAAGCATCTGGCAAGTGAAAGCCCTTGCGGAATGTTTATGGAACTGGCATACGATTTTCAAGCAAAGAGATGGTTGTGAGGCCCTTTCCAGAACATATCGTTAACTTCTCCCTCCCAAACAAAGGTCAATGGTTCGGAGAAAAGTGTCTCTTAGAGACAAGTGTTTGGTACTATAATTGGCACCCCTTGGGACCTTATTGTTGAGAAGGAATCCTAAAATCATATCTCGTTCTAGATTGCCACAAATTTGAAGGTTAGCCTCATTACTTCTGGAGCTTAGTGAAAAGGGAAATGAGCTAACTATATTGACTTCTAAGACCACAAAGAAATCAATTAGGTCAGAATAATTTCAATAGTAAGCCCATAACAGATGGGATTTGAAATTTGTTGTTATGGGCGTATAGTTGATAACAATCTCTCAATGCACTTGTATACTGTTGGCTAAAGTATTTGATTTGTCTACTCACATTATATTAGGCAACGAATAAATAAATAGATAAAAAAAAAAAACCTCTTTCGTGATTCAAATAGCATACATCTCCTAATCCTGCGATGACTTTCTTCTAAAAGTTCATACTGTTTTATTATGCACGTTGGGGAATCGTGTATTTGTGGAGGTATGTGTGGAGGAATTCTGTGCACTTTTAAAAGGGAATCACATGACTCACTAGCCTGAGACTATGACATATAAACTCTTGTTTTTTATGATTTCCTTGAAATACTCCCCTTACTAGTAGGGTAATTTTGTGAAGTAATATCACTTACACTGGTAGGCTGCAACATACTTGATCAAAAGTGCACCATAATCAGATTCGTTGTACCTTAGATGTTGGCCACCACGAGGGGCTGAAAATAGGGTCAATGACAGGGCTATGAAGGTGGCCACCAATTTACAGTCCATCAGCCCTTGAAATGTTGAAGGGCTTGCTTTAGTTATTTATTAATTAATTTATTTGAAGCACCTTTTTGTTTCATTCTTTTTCTATTGGTATGTACTGTGTAATTGGTTTGTGCATTGCAATTTCTGTTAATTTAACTAGCATTATACCCTTAGTCATGTTTATGTTCCCAACCTACACTAGATAACAGAGTCAATATCATATAAATTTTGTCTAAGATATCATATAAAATTTTTCCAAGATATTTAACTCACAGATGTGCAAACTTAGCTTCACCCCCTCATTACACCAAGAATTGTTTCCAGATTTTCATCATAATCTTAGTTTGACAACTTCTATCTCTAGAGTGTAGACTCACTCATATACATATATAAACAAGTTCAGGGTATGATAATTTTTCATTGGAGTGCACATTTCTCAGAAGCCCATATCCTTTAAAAAGCCTAGATTATTCAAATTGGGTAATTTGGGAAACCTATGTTAATAAGAACTTTGGTTGGTCAAGCTCAAACTAAGGAAACAAATGGTTTCAGAACCAATGGCAAAGTCCCGCAAAACTCACATGCCACCAAAGACACGCCTGAGTTTCTAGTAAGTGCCGGCATGTATGCCCATATACTATGAGGTAGCACTATGTAAGAGCCCAAAAAAATTAAGAGGCCAAATCTATTGCATTCCAGCAGTCAAGCTTACGACTCATTCTGACAGTCTAAAGCATGGTTCAAGTTGCAGTAACCAATGGGTCTTTGGCTCAATGGTTCTCCTTGTCTTGTAAAAGTTTTGACTTATTGAGGTCCAGGGTTCAAATCCCCCTCCCCTTCCACCTTCCCCTTCCCCTTCCCAAAAAAAAAAAATTAAAAAAAAAAAAGTTGCAGTATCTGCCATCGATTTAAGGTGCCTGAGTTGAATAGGACTCGGCCAAAGTCATAACAGATATTTTGAACCATGGTCTAAGGCATAATATAAAATGTGGATGAACAAAACCCACTAACAAATTAATAATCACAAGAAAAGCCTAATCCTGCTTGCTACAGCTCACATTAGGGAAATTAATCACCTCAACAACTAGAAAACAAAACCATGAGCATGAAAATAAGATACTCTATAATACAATCATATCAGTTCCTCAAATACTTCAAGAGGTATTGAATGACACATAATCATGAAACTAAATAAGGGGGTGATAAAGGAGGCTAACCTGATGTTGACATTATTGGTGGTCATATGAGTAGAGACATTTTTATCAACCCATTTCTCTGCAGCCTTCATGCTGCTAGCCATAGAAGCAAGCATATCATTGGGGATACCCACCATAACCTCAATCTCATACTTTCCCAGAGCTTTTAGAGTATCATAACTGGCATCAAAAAGCTTAACCTTCTGAATCCCATTTTCCCATAGCAGTCTCACCACTGTATCTGGAGGGAGTTGATGGGTTGCCTGTGTGCCCCAGTTAGCACCAATCCCACTCACTACATGCACCCATGTAAGTATTGATACCAACAGAACCCCAAATGCCACTGAAAATATACCCATTATTTGAAAAAATCAGCTTTTATGGAATTTTTTTTTTTTTTTGGGAAACCCACAGGAGACTAGAAACACCTTGATTGATAAAAGTGTGTCTGGAACTATAGGTTGCAGCTAAGTGATTAGGAAAGTTTATTTCCATATGCAATAAGACATGATTACTACCAAATAAGTAGGCATAATAACAAAACCATAGAGAAAACAAAGAAAAAGCTCAAATCTGGTCAGGAACTGAGCACCCAGTGGGGACTAGAAACACCTTGATTGGATGAAAGTGCGTCGAGCACTATAGAGTGCAGCAAGTGATTAGGAAATTTTATATCCACATGCAATAAGGCTTTATTATGACCACAAACTTAGGTAAAAACACAGAAACATAGAAAAAACAAAGAAATAACTCAAATCTGGTTAGGAACTCGACACCCAGATGAACTAAGTGGTAAGAGAGGAGAGAGAGAGAGAGAGAGAGAGAGAGAGAGACCTAAACAGCTGCTCTGAAAACAATAATAAATCGACAACAAGAACAACAAAATTATTTGAGGAAAAAGGAACATGCTTTTACTCTGTAAAGCCCCATCTAGCTAGAATGGAACAATACCCGTAACTAAGATGGTCTAAAGGTTCCACAAAAAGATTAAAACGAAAGCCAAAAAAGGAAGATCGAACCTAATAAGCTGTAGAAATGGAGCTAAAGAAGAGAATCTAAGGCAATAATATAGAAAAAGGAAATCATTTAAGCATCTCGAAAACAGCCTGTCATCATAAGACAGGATTCAAGATTTAGAAAATCGAGGTTAAACCAGAGGAAAATGCTTGGAATTATTAAAAGTGGTTAAGACTTAAGACGGGTGTGCAACTAGAGAACTCAAAATAAAGGTAGTGCTAAACTAGCTAAAGGAATCAACTTTAAGAGAAACTTTATGCTCAAAAAGTGAAATAACGAGGGCATGAAGAAGTTAAGTATAGAGTTCTGGAATGATTCATGAGATCTAGAATCTATGCACCTACTATCAAAAAGCACTGTCCAGAGAGAGAGAGAGAGAGAGAGAGAGAGTATGTATCTGTTTGGTAACGTACTCTGTGATAAAGCTACTCAGAAACAGACAAAACATGGTGTGTCATAGGATTTGGATCCATCCATTAGATTTTTTTTTCTTAATTTCTCTAAATAATAAATTGCCCTCAAGGAAATCAAGTAGAACAAAAAATATAGTAGTACCTCTACCATAGATGATTAATATATTGGGAGAAAGTATACTAAAATGGATTAAAATGTCTAGATACGTCAATCCACATGATTCAAAATTGAGTAATCAACAATATTCTATTTTCTTATCGAAAACATTTATTAATTATTCATGTGAGGTTGGGTTGAATGTAGTAGAAATATATCATTTGTTCACTAATTGAACTGGATAACTTCTTAAGTGGAATTGGTATGTGGGTCCCTTTTTTGGTAGTATGCTTGAGTAACTTTGGTGGAACTTTGGTGTGTGGATTATTTGTGTATTATATGTGCATGTCTTTGTCCCAAAAATAAAAATTGGATAACTTCTTACCAGGGCAACCACAAAACAAAGGAGATAGCACCAGCAATCTTTTTGGAGTTGATGTTACTATAATACTGTTTTAAGTTACTACCAAATGGGATTGCAGTTACCAATCACATGGATTTAAATTACAACTAATTTGGGGTGATATACGATCAGTTGTGAGGAACGTTTGAATTGAAATTATTTGAGGTAATGATATTATTATTTTGGTGAACTTACAAGTTTTGAGGGAATTTATTATCTTTTGGGATAACATGAACACAGGTCATAACTAATACCAAATATCGTGTTAAGTTTGAAAAGTGCATTTAGATCATGTTCGACACAATTATTTATGAAAGTTAAGTTTACCATGACCTAGAGGGGGTGAATAGGCTTTTTACATTTCTTGTAGAATTTTGCTCAATTAAACCTACTTATCACAATTGGCAATTAATTAATATGGTCAATTAACTCCTTTTAGTGCACAACCCTTGAATGAATATATGGATGCAAGAATACAAAAATAAACAATCAATCTCACTTCAATTCAATTCCACTATTCTTATCCCTCCAAAATCTTTCCACATATTTTAAGCAACCACAATTTGATCACAACATAAATTTAAACATTCAAGTATAAGATCAAACACATGATGTGTGAGACATTTTGTGTGTGTGTAAAGTAAAGCAACAAACAACAATCACAACATAAAGTAATTTAACGTGAAAATCCTTTCGAGAAAATAAACATAATGATATTAATCAATTAAATACTAGGAGAGGATTAAAAGACAAGGACTTGATTGCTTTATAAAAATATGCGAGGGTAAAATAAAAAATCAAAATTTTTTAAGATTAACTGACATTTATATATACTATTTGATGTACACATGCGTTGAATGTGAACTATTTTAAATATAAATTAATGTATGTCTAAGTTGGGAATAACTTTTTTCAAAATTTACAACAAAAGTAAACAAAAATGATCTTATAAATAACAAACCAACTCTTGTGGGTCCATTCACACATTCCAATTTTTTTAGATATCTATTCACTAAAAAACTGATAACATTGTATATACTAATTCACATGCTTGAAATGACAGTTAGAAATTCAAGGGATAAAAATATAATAAAAGTTGTGCAAGCTTCAATTTCATATGCATGAGCAGAACGCAGACAACTACTTAGGAATAGGGATTTACTTCAAGGGGTTACAAGAGTGAATAAGGAAAATTGGTTAACTTTTCTGGTTTTGAACGTTGATCATAGGGTTTATAATGTCCAGGGGCGGCCCAACAGATCTAGAGGTCTTAGGAGAGTATGATGTGGGCCCTATTAATAGGTAATATATATATATATATATATATATATATATATATCATACTAAATAATCATTGAAATATATTCATTTAAAGGCAATTTTTCTTTCTTTTTAAGATGCAAAAAAATTGATTAAATTTGTATATTCAAGTTTTGCTAATATATCCTTTTCAATAAATAATATAGGTAATTCATTTAATTTTTCTTGTGACATAGTTGATCAGAGATAAGCTTTTATTAATTTAAGCTCTCAGCCGAAGTTACTACGTTGTTAACAATATTATAAAAGTTATACATGCATTTGGAAAAAAAATTTAATCGTTTTATATAAGTTAGGGTTTTAGTTGGAGTGTTAATTTCATATTGTAAGACTTTCTTAATACATTCAATTCTTGAAATAAATCTAAACCATTTATATTAGAAAATAAGTCATGCTTCAAAAAAATTTCAAGGTTAAGACAATACATTTTCAAACTATCATCATCTAAAGATTTTAATTTTTTAAGACAAAATAAAAAATAAAAAATATTTTTATATATTTTGAATTTTTCAAACCTACTTTGGATTGAAGAAATAGCTAAATCAATTACATACAAAATAAACTCAATCCAAAAGGTTCTTCAGCTGATAGTGTTACTGCATTCTCAACTACATCACCAAATTGGTTTTTCCTAAGAATTTTACGGTTTTCACAAAATACTGGTTTTATTTCCATTTTAAGTGCAGTATCTTTTGATAAAATCAAAGCAGAGTAAAATCCATTTTCTCTATATGATTCTAAAAAAAAAATAAGTCCTTTTAATTGATCAAAAGCAACATCAATATGCATGTATGTGGATTGTAAGTATTTACTAACTGTGTTAATAGCAAATAATATATAATATCAAATATTCATACCCAATAAAAATTCAAAATTTGCAATCTTATATAGCTAAGCATTTGGCTTCATTCCTTGTTTTAGGATTTTCACTAGTTTTTGTTAATTGAATTAAAGCATCTCGTATTTTTTTCTAATTGAATTCTTTTTTTCATAGACAAGAAAGGGAGAGACGTTGTTGTTGAAGTCTAGGCATCTAATACGGCTGACAAGTGGAGCAATTTACTAGGTAAGTTGTTATAGAGCTAATGGGCCTATTAATAAATTTTGGGCCCCTCAAATTAGTCCATTCAAAATATATGTACCAATAACTAAAAATATAAATTGAGAGCCCCAAAGTTTTACAAAAAATGGGGGCCCTAAGCAGCCACCTAAGTGGCCTAGGACTAGGTTCGACCCTGATAATGTCATGCAACCTCTTTTTTTTGACGTTAATTCCTATATGTGAGAGTAGACATAAGGCTCAAAGAATCAATGTAAGTTTCACGCTAAGTGTATTATGATGCCAATTGCAATACATTTCCATTATGCTACAGTCGTAATGATTTTCTGTGAAGGTAAGGACTCTTAAGCAATTGAACTAAACAAGCTTTACTTGGCTCCTCCATGGCTAATGTCCCATATGACATTGAGTTCTTGTGAATCTATGACGCCCCTAAAACCGGGGGTTCCGTTAACAACCCGTCAATCAGCGAAATTATCCATGAGTGCCGCTTGATCTGATATCACGCTAATATTATCTCATTACCGAAATTTTATCCATTATGGTTCATTTGCATTATAGGGACTAAAGGATACTTAGCCCAAAGGCCTGGGAAAAGAATTTTAAAAAAAATTTCAAAGTTTGGAAAAGCTTCTAAAAAATGCGTACCACAGGGTACGATTTTCTTTCTGGATCAGACTATACCGGTAAACTTTGCCCAGTTTTGTCTTTTTCACCTGTTTTTCATTTCCAATTCAATTTAAACCTTTTCAAATTTATCTCAAACATACTTAACAATGTTTTTTACATACAAGTGAATATATACAAGGTCTATTACAAAATATTTCGTACATTTACATGTCAAATGAAATTTTACCAAAAGTTTTACAAAAACTTCTTTTCAAAAGCCACAACCCGACTTTTCTTCAATGTTGAGGCCTCGAATGCGAGTCCTCCACCGGTACGAACCTCCATACCTGAAATGTGTTCCCGTATAGGGTGATTCAACGCCCAGTAGAATATTTCCTATAGAGGTTACTCCCCACCCCAATGCATATGCAATGGTCTCA